TAATTTGTGTTGTTTCTGAAAAAATGTCATCGACTTACAAAAAACCAGTCATCAAATGTGTATCATTATATAACCTTTTAATGAACTGTACTACTACTTATATTACTAAATAAAATATGAAAAGAAATTACAAAGATGTCATTTGCTCCCCTAATTAAAACTAATTATAGGTACGACACTGGCCGGCAAGGGGCTTATTGTAATCCAATAGGAATTTAGTTGGGAGAGTCTATACCTGGGCGATCGCTCGCCAAACTATAGAAAGATCTCACCCTATTTTCTTTGTTATATTTTGAATATTTTCATGAGGCTTTAACTTTTTCTTCGTGAACTTTTGATTTTGAACCTCCTGGAAAACAGAAAAAACCGTTGAATGCCTATCTAAATGTTTGTATGAAAGTATAGAAAGGTCTCACCCTTTCTCCCTTGACTATTTTCTAGATACCTCAATATTTTTCTCGAAACTTAGTGATTTTGAACCTCAAAAAAAAAAACCAAAATCTTTCAATTTCAAGGTACTGCTTCTTTGCTTCTTCCAGATTCCTACCAAAACGACGTTTAGAAAGCTGTGTTTACCAATTCACGTAGGATGTTCTTTCACCTTCCCACTACCCCGTCCAACACTAGAATAATACCACACAAAAACATTACCTGGCACCACACACGTCAACACTTATTCGTTCTGTCGTTAATCCCGCGAACTGGATCACTGATAATTACACCTAAATCGAGGAAAACGTCGACGTTTCATACAATTGAAAGTTGAACATACGGTCGCTAGCGAGAGAAACGAACAACGGATTGAAATTTTAAAGTCTGCATTGAAGTGTACGCACTGAACTAAGTAACTGCAGAGGTAGGCGGGGTGAGAGGCGTGGGGCATTCCTACACCGGTGAGCAACAGGTAAGAGTCCATCGAGGTAAGACGGTATGGAGAGTCACTCCTGTTTCAGAGGTACTACACGACAGCTGAACCAATTTATGACATTCATGAACAATCTCAATAGCAACATTCAGTTCACACTCGAAACAGAGATAGAGAAACAAATAAATTTCTTAGACCTGGCCATCACACACAATCAGAATAAATTCGAGTTCAATGTTTTCAGAAAACCTAGCTACACAGACATCACCATCCCAAGCGATGGAAGAACAATTCGTTCAGGCCAGTCTCAACTTACCTACACTGTAGGTTATTGGACTGACTCCTATCAGAAAACAACTACTCCTCTGGCTAATACCACGAAGGACGTTGGATGATATTTTACAGGTTTCAGTGTAGGATTCTTCACTCAAGTTATTCCTGTTTAGGCTGCTGGAGATACAACTGCCGGAATCGATTTTCAATTATTGGAACAGACACTTGCAGACCGGTTTCTGGATGTTTGGCCCCTCGCCAGTGCAAGATAGTGTTTCTCATCAACATGAAGTCGATCATTTCCCATAATTGAAAATCGAATTTTTTTCAGAGCATCATTCCTCGAACTAGGCAGAAACGAACGACAAACTACATTTTTGTCATCGCTCCATCTGCCCGTGAACGAGCTAGCCAACAGTATATCCGAATTTGCCCAATTCCTCGTATAAGGAAGAAAACTTCACAAATTGAGTGGGTATACTTTGAGACTGGCTGTAAATCAAATTATCCAAAAGAACAATTCGTTCAGGCCAGTTCAAATTACCTACACTATACGAGTCTACTCGAGTTTATAGCTGGATATCTCACATTTCGAGATACTTACCCAATTCTGACTGAGATGACTGGACCATGATCACGGTTTAGGCCATCCAAAGGCACCACAAGTGAAATTGGGAATATTTTAGAATTTTTTAGTGACAAAAAGACTTTTGGCTTTCTACTTCTTTAAACAAAAAATGTTAAGAAGTTTCCCGCATAGCCAAAGTGAACTCTTTCAAAAATATCCTTTTTTTAACTCAGATTATTTCAAAATGCTAAAAACTAGCAATGCATTAAAGCTTTGTATTCGTTGACAACGAATACAAATATGAGATCAAGTTATTTGTAAAAACTTGAACAATTTTGTCACAATTGGAACGAATTCATCAAAACTATCGTCCTGAATGACAAAAATAATTGTCTCGGGTTCTGCAATGCACACACAAGTTTTCAACGTATAATTTCAAGTTCAGGTATGATTACTGAACGACAGAAAACAGTCTGAAAATTCCAAAGATTTTGTAATACTCACCAAGCACAAGCATTTCCATCCTGAAAACGTAATTAGTCAAATTCTACATTGCTCGACTTATATGGAAAAGGGTTTATTATTATTTTCGGGTGGAATCTGAATTACGCATCTGAACAGAAACTTTTACTACTTACTCTTAGCGTCCTTTCACACAAGGAGCTCCACTTATCTCGCTCCTGAGAGAAAGGAAGGCTCTTAGCGCCAAAATGTAACGAACACAAGTGGGCTTTCACATGAGGAGCGGGAGCCACTACGTTTCGGGAGACGAGAGCACTCACCTGTAACTCTTGCCGGGAAGCCACGTCTCATCCTTAAAATGCAAAAGGATGAGTTGGGGCTTTCATACGAGGAGTGAAAACGGCTTTCCCCACTATACTATTACGATGTGGAGTATTATCTGCAACCGACCTATTCTTTAGGATAAGGACCGAAATGAAGTCGTAAAAAGTTGAAATATCCTTTCCAGTTCATTTAGAAATATGTTCCCTTATGAAGTTGATGTCGAATTCGAAAAGCAGGGCCATATTCATGGACTGCAAATAAGGCTCAAAATTATTTTCCGTTATGCGATATCCCACTCAATTCCGTCTAACCTCCATATCACTCTACCTCGATGGAACTGAAGCAAAATGCACTAAGTATGACCTGCAGTTACTTCGCTGATTCTTGCTAGGCTTCATGACCCGATAATACAAACGGGAAAGGAAAATAAACGAAACTCTAGCTAATGCAGTAAATGATGCACCATCCAATGGAGACATTTTGCGATAAAATAACTCCACACAATAGGAAAAAAAACATATTCTGTGTCAGTGGGACACGTCAATGTTCGAGGATCAATGAACCGGCATTTCTGATCTCTCATTCGAACTGATTTGTCGGCTGTTAGTACAGACTGGTGGTAATCTTCAATTCTGTCACGTATTCTGTACGTAATACAAATTCCAAAGCTTTCAAATATCCGTATTTTTTTCTCCCGGTTAAACATTACTCGTAGCAAGGACAAACCATTCAATTTGAACCATGATTAATTGTTTTCAAAGGAGAAAGTGATCAACAATTAATATTTGGCTAGGTTATTACATTGTTGAGGTGATAAATTGTTGAATAACTGTTGACTTGATTTGATTCGACATTGAATAACTTTATTTCCATAACTACAGCTTGACAAATTTAGTTGTTGTGCAGTAGATCAGCCGATGGACTGGAACGAGAGCTCATTAACATCGAAGAACTCGTGTAGTTAGTACAGTAAATGACAAACTATTTTGAATCGTTACTAGTGGAAATTAACAATTTCAATCAACATTTTTAGAATTTTTTGTTTTGTAGTCTGTTATGATACGTTCTATTGATTCTTTTAATTATCAGAAAAGTCTAGAAGAAAACAATTATCATGGTTCAAATCAAGGAATGTTGACGCTACAAAAAACATCATTTTCCAAGTACCGGTTTGTTTCTACCTGGAAATAATAGAAACCTACCTGGTTATTTTCAAAGATAGAAATTTGAATTTTGGATAGGTTCTAATTTTCAGATTTTCATAGTTAAAGTAGTGAGTAACTGGATTTCAATATTTTTCAGAATTTTTTCGTCTGTACATCTTTGATTATTTATTTATATGAATTCATTCATCAACTCCATGCAAGGAACATTTATGTTCATTTTTTCCGATGTTTACCACTATTTATATTATATTGATGGAGAAATAGACTTCAATACTCCCTACTGATAATAAATGTAAAGATCATAAAGAAATTGTTCTGGAATATTTATCGAAGAATTGAAGATTTCAATATTACCAAAATTCAAATTCAAATTTTTACAAATAACCAGCTAGTTTCTAACAATGAAACGCGAATAATTTCGGAAAAATTGTATTATACATTCAGAAATCCCAATAAAATGTTTAACCAACAAAATAATGGATAGAAATCAATGAAATGCATACCAAATAACTCCAATTATCTAAAAGAACAATTTGTTCAGGCCAGTCTCAAATTACCTACACTGTAGGTTGATGGACTGACTCCTATCATAAAACAACTCCTCCCCTGGCTAATACCACGAAGGGCGTTGAATTATATCCGACAGGTGTCAGTGCAGGATTCTTCACTGAAGTTATTCCTGCTTATGCTTTTGGCGATACAACTGCCGGAATCGATTTTCAATTATTGGAACACGCAGACTGGTTTTGGGCTGTTTGGCCACTCGTCAGTGCAAGGTAGTGTCTATCATCTACATGAAGTCGATGATTTCCGATAATTGAAAATCGAATTCTTTCAGAGTATCATTCCTCGAACTAGGCTGAAACGAACGATAAACAATATGTTTGTCATCGTCTCATCTGCTCGTGAACGAGGTAACCAGCCGCATATCCGAATTTGCCCAATTCCTTGTATAGGGAGAAAAACTTAACAAATTGAATGGGCATAGTTAGAGATTGGCTGTAAATCAAATTATGTAAAAGAACAATTCGTTCAGGCCACTATCAAATTACCTACACTGTAGTTTGATATACTGAGACCTTCTGCTTAACCCTGAAAACAGTGACTACTTACCTGTGAACAATTCATTACTGAGCAAACTTTTTTTTTTCCCGATGCCATTGAGAGTCAATAACTGTTTCCCTAGTTTTGCGTGGACCCAGTAGCAGATAATTTCTTTCGTATATGTAATTCATTGTATTTTAGGATTTCTATCTTGTGATGGATTCGAAAACTCTGTTTTTCCGGACGGAAATCTTTTTATAAATCTGCAGATAAGCCCCACCACCAACCAAGTACTTACCTGGAACTGTTTCGCCGTTGAACTTGATGTCAACTCTGTGGGGAAGAGCTTGATGAGGTGTGAATGCAGCTTTGAATCTCTGCCCTCCAAGACTCCTGACGCTGGATGTAACCCTTCCTCCCTCAACCAGGATTTCTAGATCGCCAGATCCAGCACCACTGCCGTCAACTAATTGAAATTACGGTATGTCGTGAATATCTAATAGTTTCTTTGATGGACCGTGGGTGAAAGGCAAACCATTGGTATTTTATTTCCCTGGTATTTTGTTACAAACTATGAATTCTCGGAATTATTGGTGTTTTTAGATCAACTTACTCAAACATTCAAATTCCACAACGTTCATTTCCATCAATTTTTTTTCTGGGTTCAATTAAAAAGAAGCATGGAAATGAAATTTCAGTCTTTACACATTTACAAAAATTCCTCAACATGTTTTCATTCAAAATACTATTCAAAACATAACTGTGAGGAAAACTTTTGAGTGATATGTGGCCTTTTACTTCACGGGATTAACTTCTTTCGTTTTTTTGAGCAATTTATCATTTAATCTGATTAATTAGCATTACAAAATATGTCAAGTATTAATATAGAATTGATCATGAAAACTTACACAAGCTAGTCACTGCGAATATGCTAACAGAAGTTATTGAAAGTAAATTGAACAGAACCTGGACGAATGGAAGATAGTTTTCTCTTCCATTCAATTCAAATTCACGGTTTTGCCGAATTTCAATATGGTCATCCAGCATGCTACTTACTCTCAAACTCAACAGGCTGGCCTAAAACGCCATCAGGCACTGGTTGTACTCTCACTGAAGATGCTCCGCCTCCCTTCACTGCCCTTGAATATACGGGAGAGTTCCTGCCGTAACCCCTCTCCCCATATTCATCAACGTTCGTTGAATATTTTTGAGAAGTGAAATTCTGGTTGTAACTCGTCTTGAAAGACTGCTCATTTCTGTTGTAGCTTTGCTCCTTTGAAATGAACCTAGAACGAGAAACAGATATACAGAGCAAAGCGCGATGACCGTTGGTTAGCTGTACTTTGGGAAATGATAGGATTCTTACCCTGGAAATTGGCGTCACACTTCCAGTTAAACCAGAAGTTGATACCAATTTTCCTAATTCGAATGTTACGCCCTGTATACTTTCACATGTTGAATACCTGGCCTTATTTACATGTAAGTTCATACACCCTTCAAAAGTTTCAAAAATGCGCAGCATTAGTTGAGTTAGTTGTTGTTTTTCCGTTGGGTATCTGCCACACGTACCTACAAAGTCGTAGGTCTACATGAGAGGAAAGGGGCAACCTTTAGCATGTCGATTGTGGCGGCGTTTCCGTGAAACTGGCAGTCCAGCCGAACAAAATCCAGGGCGAGGACGCGCTACAACTGTTGGAGGCCATACTTTGTACTGATTCCAATTTTTTTAGTATTATGATTTTTTTACGGGGTGCCAAAGAAGATCCATATTTTTTTTTAGTTTTGCTTATATGCGCACTCAGTATTTTTGACCATTTAATAAATTTTGTTGTAAGTTACATTCGTTTAATGATCACCCGTCAACTTTTTTTTCCCTAAAGCGATCTAAAAAAAAATTATTGCCATTTTTAAAAATATCCTTAGACTTTTCCGATGTGTGTATATATCCTTCACCCTGGCAATTAATCAAGTTACTACGTTTCATATTGAAATTTTAGATTGAATTATGAATGTTACAATTATGTTGTATATTTTTTAATTGAGTGTAGCTAAAAGGACTGTTATATTGGTTGGAAACGAAGCATTCGAGGAAAGCAAATTATTTAACAAAAGAGATTTCGAAATAAATCGAGTCACTTTATTTCATATTGAAATTTTAGATTTAATTATGAATGTTACAATTATGTTGTATATTTTTTAATTGAGTGTAGCTAAAAGGACTGTTATATAGGTTGGAAACGAAGCATTCGAGGAAAGCAAATTATTTAAGAAATCCGTCCGGTACAGTTCAAAGTTGGGACATGTGAATAGGATGTGATTTATATCCGATAAAGAAAAATTTTCACATGAGCATAATGGAGTCACATCAATGCCTATTTTTGCCAGATGTGCAGGGAACTTACCATGGTTCAATTTCATTCGTATGGTGGTAGTGGCGTAAAATTTTGAAAAGTTGAATGATGGCTATAGTGAGGAAATAAGAAGAGAGAAAGAGAGAGCAGGTAATTTAGCTCAAACATTTTCAAAGATATCCTGCAATTGATCATAATGATTTCTGATGAAAACTTTCAGTTCCTTCTTCAATTTATGATAATTATTAATATTCTTCAAATAGAGTGGTAGCTTATTGTATAATTTCGGGCCAAAATATGTCACAAATTTCTGGTTGTGATATAATCTGGATCTTATTTTTGAATACATTCAATATAGTTTTTCAACCAAACTGTCTGATATCTTCAATAAATTATTGATTGGGTAAGCTCTTCACAAAGAATAATACTTTTCTAACTACGATGTTTACTGGGAATCATGGATGGTGCATGGTTCATGGTTGAATGGATCTGAATTAGACCGTAGTAAGTAGTAAACTGTTTTTACTCGATCAATTTCAAGGTAGGTTTTCAAAAATTTGAATCAGGCAAACACCTTCTCCTATCAAGATAAATGCCAAACCTTGATTGTTCTTCCGCTTTTTTTCTCCTCAACTCAGAATCCAGCTGCGATTCCGTCAAGTTGGCCAAGGACTCAAGACTTCTGTCAGAAAGCATGTTTTTTGTTTTCGCAATTGCATCCCAGGAATCCCTTCTCGAAGAAGAGTTGTCCGTCATGGCTGATACTTTTATGATGGGGCTCGTATCGACTCCGTCGGCTGAGGAATTGTAAGTTCGACTTTCAGTTACCCGTTTGTCATATCTCGAAGTGGAGCTGTAGTTTCCTACTTCAGGGCTGGACCTATAATTTGAAAAACCTATATTATTTTTTGTCGAAAGAGCATAGCCCTGTCAATTATCATTAACTCATATAAGTTGGCCGAACAGAATCGATCTTCACAAATATTTGTATTCAAGTCCTTGTCCTCTATTTTGAAAAAGGCTTGCTGTTGGGCAAGAGCCCAAAGAGGGGCTTTAGAGACAATTTTTTTTGAAACTTATGCAATTGGAGTGTGGTACATAAAAAGAATCAGAGCTGCTGCCATGAACAAAGCTTCTGGAACAAAACCTAATAATGATAGTGTCAAACATTCACCTTCCGAAAAAAAAGATATACCAACGTATGCAAAGTAGACATACAAAGTACAACTTTGACATTGTACTTACCTCTCCAAAAAATTAGGACTTCTAGAATCTGCCATTCTCATCGATGACATTTTCGACGTGAAATCAAACTCGGTTTTCTTTGCAAAACTAGGACTAGCAGTGTCATATCTTTTTTCATTCAGTCTTTTACTTGTGATACGATCGGGACTGTCTCGACCTTGGGAGGGACTGGAGGGACGGTAGCCGGGACTTGGTGGTTGGTAGCTGGGACTTGCCGTTCTATGCATGTAACTTGGACTCGTGGTTCGGTGCATGTAGCTCGGGCTGTTCGTGCGTTGCATGTAGCTGGGACTATTTCTGTCAGCAAAGTTGGGAGAGTTTGCGGTCATACGCTTCTCAGCGACTGATCTCATGTGGTGTTCCTGTGCGAATTTTTGTGTTTCTTCTAGAAGGGGGCTTGCGTTTTGTCTGTAACTGAAAAAGAGACGAGTGTCAACTGATTGAATGATCTTCGTTTGAGAATATATGAAAAGTTCATATTAATAAAATTGTCTTGACTATTATTCGAATGTCTTCATTGCATACATTGGTCGGTACGACCAATTAGCCTTATATTCTTTCTGCTGAAAGGACTTGAGAGGATAGAATCGACCATAACTGGCTGGATCTATGTCTGCGTCTCTTCAAGACGAGGGTATCAGGTTCAGGGTTACCAGGGGCTGCACTCAAGGTGGTGTACTATCTCCCCTTCTGTAGTCGCTCCTGGTGGATAGTCTGCTTGATGCCCTCGACAGAAGAAAAGTTGATCTGCAAACTCATGCAGATGACCTTATCATCCTGGCAAGGTCCACGTCGGAAAGGGCACAGTTGGTGCTTGAGGGAGCAGATGTCTGTCAACCTCAGCAAAACTGTGTTAATCCCTTTCACCAAGAGAAGAAAATTGGACGATCAAACGCCACTTTCCCTCAATGGTGTGGTCATTCCATTTGGAACGGAGGTGAAATATCTTGGCATTGTCCTTAATAAAAGACTCACCTGGAACGCTCACTTGGAAGAAGTTTTACACAAAGCCAGACTGTCTCTATGGACATGTTGAAGGATTTGTGGTGAAACTGGCTTACAGAGACAGGCTTGTCTGGCTTGCAGTGGTGCCATCAGTACCACACTGTCAGCGGCCATAGCGATACTTCTAGATCTACCTCCTCTCCACATGTTTTTGGAGAGAGAGGCTAGATGGACTGCATACAGACTTGTGCACATTGCCAATTGCACAAATCAATTTAATACCGAGTGCAACAGACTGTTGGTTGACGTTGGAAGTCACAGCTTTCTGGAAATGACCTCTGACTTTATACCTCCAACTGTCAATTACGAACTGCCTCATAAAGTACTATTTCCGAGTAGAGAGGACTGGATCCTCCGGGAGAAGGAAATATTAAAAGCAGATAGTTGTTGGTTCACAGATGGATCAAAAACACCTTCCGGTTATGGTGCAGGTGTTTTTAGTCGCAGACCCAGGACTGAGTTATCTACATGCCTAGGAACTTATGCGACTGCATTTCAAGCGGAAATTTACGCTATTGAATTGTGTGCGGAGAGATTGGTTAAATCCAACCTCACTCACAAGTCAATGAAAATATTCTTGGACAGTCAAGCGGCGTTGGAAGCTTCTGGCTCCCATCGAGCAACGTCTAAATTGGTAGCAAACTGTCAAAAACGACTCTCCTCGATAGGAAGACTCAACAGATTCTCTGGTCTAGATTTCTGGCCATACTGGCCTGAAAGGCAATGAAGCTGCTGATTCTCTTGTGAAAGAGGGTGCTACAAGCGGCTTCATTGTACCAGAACCTGTCATTGGCATCGCTTTGGGCTTTGCCAAACACCTGGATGCCAAAGATTGAACACCTGAATGCCAAGAAGATTTATGGACTTCTGGCAGGAATCTTCCAATGGAAGGTTCTGGCTCACTTCAAGACACTGAGAATAAGTGCCTTGGAGTGAGCCAGAACCTTTTATTGGCATCGCTTCAGGCTTTGCCTTTGCCAAACAAACACTGAACACCTAGATGGCAAGAAGATTCATGGACTTCTGGTAGGATTTCCAGGATTGGCTCACTCCAAGGCGTTCATTCACCCTTTGAAGGGTGAATGTTATTTGAATGATCATATGCAGAGACTGGACTGTCGGAAGACAGTGTGTGTCGCCTCTGTCTAGAAAATGATGAAACAGCAGAGCATATAGTTTGTGCCTGCCCCGCTGGGGACCGAATAAGGTTCTTTGAGTTCGGCAGATCCGTACTCTCACCATCTGACCTGAAAGACCACTCACCATACAAACTAATCGGCTTCGTTAAGAAGCTGGATTTATTTCTCCGAGTGTAAATAGATGTGAGCCACAATTAACCCTTGTGGGTTGCGGTGGAGGGTCGAATAGATCCATTCACTTCAGACCTACCTACCTACAGTACTGGCACTTTCATTCACTCATTTCCTTTATATTCCTTTTGAGAGTAATCACAAAATTGTATGGCGATCGTCAGTAATACTACCCCAAGAAGTAAAAGTCTACAATGTAGTCACTAAAAACTACAACTACACACAAACCAAGCTACAATTATACCATACATATCAGTAGCCACAGAATTCTAAAGAAATGAAACTTTTGATCCAAAAATTGAATTGAAAATTATGACCAATGAATTTCAAACCATCATCTATATGTATTCTTCTGTATACCTCTATATCTCTGAATTTCCATGGGACTGGTTGGAAAGGTTACAAACATAGGGAAGGAAAGCTTGTCCCTTGACCACCCGAGCTGGGATTATTCTCTCCTGGATCGTACGGCCCGCTAAAATTCTCCTTCGCTGTACACATTCCCGTTGAAAGCATTCCTTAGGTGATTGAAATCCTCAGGAAGACAGTCACATTCACAAATATGTCGTGCCCTCTCAACCAACTCTCTTGTTCTGGCTTGTGATTAGAGTCTATGTTCAGGTAACTGTGTAAGCGTTAATTTCCTGTACAGTCTCTTCACAAGAACATCCAAGAAAGCTGGAGTCTCTTGTTAGACGACGGGTTGGCTGTTCTTGTTCATTTTTCACTGCCTGAACCACTGTGCATGCTGTTTTTGGTGAGTGCATAGGCTTGGGATTTGGGAGTTGAGCAAACCGGCCATCGGATGCTTGCTTCCACGTAGCCCCGCTGGATACGGGATTGACAGAAACACTTATGGTTCTGTTATTCCCTAACTGAATGGCATCCCTACGATGGCTTAATCTTAAGGTATGTGTATCCGTGCCGAGGGGATGAATGACACTGTGCCTATCAGCTGCCTCTACGGAACCTTCGAGATACCGATGCTTCGATGCTCGTCGTAGCATCCATCGCCTTGTCACGGTAACGCGAAGCTCTGCCTTCTTTCTTGACCTTCTTTCCCTACCTACTCGTGGGACTTTTATGGACAGAGTAAACTCAAACATTCTTTCTGACGCTGAGTCTACAGAGGAGATAGATGTCGAGCTCACAACTCCATCTGTTCCCTTTACATGTAGATCAAGAGCGAGTCTGCAGAGGAGATGTATGTCGAGTTTACAACTCCAACTGATCTCCTGTAAATTTAGATCAGGAGTGGGAGCTTCTCGACTCTCCAACTCCTGATCCAATAACTGAACCTAACATAACCTTTGTTAGACGGAGCATCAGCAAAATCTACCATTATCGTCAGACCCCATTTGGGATACATATGAATGTAGCAATCTAGTATGTTAATGACTGGGTAAAATCTGGTTTAGCGAACGGTTTCGTTTAGTCACGCCACCACGATAAAGAATTCTCGTCTCTTGCCTTGTCTCGAACGTGACAAGTTAGTTCTTCCTCGACAAGAGAGAACAAGAGAAGTCGTGCTTATGACTAGTTGGTATTAATTTTGTTTATATTCGAGATACTCAGACGGTTCACTCCATCTGAAATGACCCTCCTGGTACTGACGAGGGGCAAGTACTCCGAAACCGGTCTGTCGGTGGTCATATCGGCCAAAGGAAATCAATTTCAGCTTTCCATATGAAGGGAGTGGTTTTACTAGGCTTTCTGCGCGGCAGTAGCTGGGTTAGCTGTTATTTTTCCGTCGGGTATCTGACACAAGTACCTAAAAAATCTCAGGTCTGGTGTTAACATTCGATCCCACGTTTCGGCTTCGACTTTGAAGACATTTTCGAAAAGATATGACTGAGGTCTCAGGTAGTGTCTTGCTTTAAGGGTTCTGTGATTGAGGCAGATTGAGAACCCGGCATCAAGCCGGCATCTGCCTACCCTCAAGCATCTACCGTGGGTACACAGGTTCTGGTCTGGTATTTACGTCCGTGGACGAGTTGAAGGGGAGCGAGATTGTGAAGGCGAGGTTGAAGTTGGTAATGGGAACAGTTGTGTGACTTCTTCTTTTCTATAAATCATTTTCAGAAAATGCTATTGTATACGCATACATCTTACAGCAGATCTATTTTTTTGGTGATGAAGGTTCTGGAATGTAAAGTTCTAGTGAGGAACATCCACTTCAATCATGAAGACTCAAGAGGGATATTTCAGTAAATTTTTTTGTGTGCTACACTTTTTCTTGATTCATTTTCGAAATTCAATTTCATAAAATTTCACTCACCTATTGTAGATAGTATTTTTCATTGTATTGGGACTAGGGGCAGTTGGGCTGGAAGAATTGAAGCGATTGGTTGGACTGGCCCTGTATGTTGAGCTGGGACTGCTGTTGGACGATTTGGACCTCCTTTGGGTTCCAACGCGCATCATGAATGGGGATCCTTTCACATCATAACCGTTGAAATATACGTAAACCTGAGAAATATAATTATTCGGTGTCACGAAGAGGTCAATTTTGCTTGCAAATTGTCATCTTTGGACTTCGACTCAGTTGTTTTCACAGAATGTGACTGATTTGTTCAGTATACAGTGTGGTCCACTAAGTGTGCCACAAATGGGAAACTTTTTTATTATCGATTTCTCAGAAAATTTTATTCTTGACAAAAGTTGGTGCATGTTCCAAACCTATACCAAGTGTACCTGAAATGGCTTTATGACAAACACCATACAGGATAGGTCAAAAAATATAATGTTCGTTCAGTGATAAAGTACCCTTATTTCAAAAAATATAGAAATATGTTGAATAGAAAAGTTGCTTAGAATTAAAAGTTATGTTCAGATAC